GATGCCCGTATGTTCAAGTCGCATGCTGGTCTCCTGATCGACGTTTACCAAGTTTAGGCTCCCACAGAAGAAGCTCACGCCCTGCAGTAGATGGTGTATGCTCAATTAGTTTGTATAACAAGGCACCCCTCCCTCTAAATCTCCACTTGCACTGAGATCACATGTGCCCAGAACATAATAGAGTCATTCCTTACGTCGTCCTGCCATTTAACCGTCATTACGTGCCGAAACCACATCCGCTGTACGCAGTTTAACCGTCGTTTCTGCTTTATCGTTAGAACAGTAATACCGATCTGATAGAGGCAAGGCGCAAAAGGACTGTTGTGGGAAGAATAAGTCTAAGATTGGACGGGTTTCCTAAAGCTCTCGCAGCTATGGCTATCCTCCGATTTACTCTGGCTGGATAATGTATTTGCTGTAGCTACTGAAGTCAGACACTAAAAACTAAACGACTTTCTGAACGGCTTCAATTTCCTGTTCCACCTCTACATCAGCTCTGGGTTCATCATTATTTTTCTCTTCCAGGCGTCAAGGATAAGGCCAACCTTTTCAACTATGTGCCATACGGAAGCACTGATTCAACAGAGCTCGCTTCCGTTTTACTCACTTGGATAATATTTGCGTACTGCAGGTCAGCAAGATAGCTAGTGTGACATCCTGAAATGCTCCTTCCCCATAGAATGAGATGTCTTCCCTTGGTTTGCGCTGCTTCATAGAAACAAGTCAACAACAATGTTAAATAGCACGGACGAAAGCTATCTTTACACCCATTCAGATGGTACTGCTTTAACTTTAAAGAAGACATGATTTCTGCATAGGTTCCTTCAAAGTAGAAACGATGTCACCAGGTATCCATAGCATTACAACATTTTCCACATGTCAGACGGTATAGTGAATCAAATGCTGATTTAAAAAAGAGAGTCTTCGGAAAAACAAAACAACTGCCATCGTCGGCATTGCCGATTGAACCTATGCAGAACGACAATTTGGTCAGGGCAGGCACTCCATCAGGAAGTCAACTTAATTTTGGCGGTCTCGCATCAACTGCCTGATTCAGCTTTTCTAGGGTAATCCAAAAGCAGAGTTCGCCGGGAGTTGTAATGTGATATCACCGTCTGCGGATGTCATTCACTCTTCAACACCGTGACGGTCGACTACGTCCGGTCATGTGGTGTTCTCAGCACCCACCTTCGTGTTGAGGTCGCCTGTGACAGTTGTGACGTGACAAAGCAGTAATAGAACGGGTCTTTGTAGATGTTGCTCGACACATTTGTTAGGTCATATGCGACAGTGATATTCAGCATCGAGTTTCACATTCACGCGACATAACAGGATTCTCTCTGACATCTATTCCGCCAGCTTGTACTAGGACACAGGAGAACGCTCGCGCCGGCACAGCGTAATCTAGTGTGGTCTGACCACCAAAATGACCATTCATTCTGCTTGTCAAGAATCCCTTTCTTCCAGAGGTTAGCTTCCGTATCGCTAGTACATAAAGTTGATGTCGATACCGTACGGCAGATATCATCTAACTTACCATCGCCAGACAATGAACGAACCTCCTAACATGCAACACGAAAATTATCACTTGTAGTGCTGACTGATGTAATCACAGATTTCTTGGTTCCAAGTACATGCGGTAACTGGGTAATAAGCACAGCTGATTTTTTCGAGAGCAATATATCCACTGCCGCTAGCTAAGAAATCAGCCTGACAACTCTGATCGATTGGTATTCCAAGGATTTCTGGGAAACATGAACTCCGCACTGTCGAGACGCATGAACCTAACGATTCGTTTGAAAAAGCCCATTTCAGAAGCTCCGACAGGCCATTCTAGTTTTTCAATCATAGCCTACAACCCACGACCATCTGAGCAATGGGATTAAAAACGGCCCCTATGGCACATCATACAAGAGTCTCATTACTTTCAAACATTAGCCAATGTAAAAAATTACGTTTTTGAAAAGAAAGAAATAGATTTGCTTCCCGCCTACTCTTACACTTGAGTTCATTAACAAAAATGTGTAGTAATTTCTGGCTATTCCCAAAAAAAATAGGAGGCACACTGCGAAACATAACATTAATACCGTGTTTAATTGATGAGAATCAGGCCCAGCGATCAAAAACAATATGTTTTTGCACAGTTCTACAGCAACGTGCTTTTTACAGAAAAGTTCTTTCATGAAGTCCACGAACTTGTTGTCAGGCAAAAATTCGTCGATACCGAATAGTTCTGTAATTTTCTGCAAGTTCGCGAATTAACTAAAAGCTGATCAACCGCAGATGCACAAGTTTTACCGCTATTTGAGGAGTCAACTTCGCCAAGAAAGAAAGCACCCCTTTGATGTGAGCCACTGTGGTGACAGGACCAAGAGCGAATACAAGCTTCAGCTAGAAGATTTTTCAATAGCAGAGAAGTTTACCTTCGCCCGTTCGTTGGCTTACCTTTTTGGCGAATTCTTGGTCGTTGCTCAACTTGGCAAAAACAGTCATCGCTCCTTCAGAGTGACCAATGTAGTAAAGATGTTCAGCGCCGCTCACGTTTAGAGCCATATTCACCATCGCCGGCAGATCGTATTCCGCCATTTGATCCCATCTGAAATCGTGATCGATTCACATCTCTGAAACAGACAGATATCTGAGACTTACGAGAACTGCCAAAATTCATGGCTCGTTGTGTTTAAACGAATATGTTCCCTGCCATAAGTATTGCCGCGAAAATTGCCCAACCATACGTCAAATCCAGCATCAGCAAAAACGAAAGCTTAAATACAAAACTGAGGATGCATTTGAGTCAAACATAAGCTTACCGAAATGTTCTGCATGGAATACACGTCCAAAAGACCGTCATTTTGCTGTCTTCAGAAATAAACATCCAGACTAACTTAGACAATATGTTTTTACCGCGATGGCGGCAATTTACACTTATTTTAGTCAAATCTGAGAGAAAAGCACGATTTTAATATGAAGAAATCTGCCATTTCTTTTTGTTTAAAATAAATCTGTTCAATGGTTACTATGCAACGAATGAGAATGTAGCACAGTGCCCGTCACTTTGATGCGCAGTCAGTTTACCTCTGGTTCTCTGGCGACAAGTACGAGATTATGCTGAGCTGAGGCAATGTTGTGAAGTGTAAACCTACATGGGAGGGTGACTTTCCAAGGCCGATAATTCAGAAAATCAAATGTCTAAATCTCGAAAGGACAACGGATCATGGGATGAGATACGTCAATAAATAGACGCAATGGTGCATAGTGCATTTTAAACGTGCAAAGTTCGATTTCTACTACGGGGTATAATTTTTTCTTAACAACTGTTAATTCCACCATTCAGCTATTAATTCTCCTCTCTGTTCTCTGAAGTTACCATCCGACAGACGGCAAGAAGTCGATAACCTGGGAATGATAAAGAAAATATTGCACTCCCTAAGGTTACATGCCAGATTTTACATTGACAGACACACCCTCCGCCATGTTCTTATGGCTGGTATTGTTATTTGCCGTGACTCAAATAAAGCTGACTAAGATTCAGACCAAAGTGTAAACCGAAAAATTTAATTTATTTTTAAATACAAATATTCCGTTCACATTTTAGTCACAACAACGTGTTTGACTGTCATGCACAGTTTCGGTTTATTCTGCTTACCCAAAGATTCATTTCGAAGATTGCTTATCCAGTCGGCGCAGCTGCTCAGTAGACCATGCTGTATGAATACTACCGGTTTGGGAGTAAAGTCATACATGACATTACGACTGTGTCCATGCGGAATGCGGTATATCTTGAGAATGTAACCGTCTTCGGTCACCACACGATGCTCTTCCATCGGATATTCCCAGTATCCTATGAGTTGAGACTAAAAATAGATTTCAAGTCGTTCATTCACTGAAAGTTAGGCGAAAAGCTTTATCTTACACAATTCATCAGTATTTCGGGATCTCGCGCCGTAATCCCCTCGGTGTACACACCGACGAAAATTAGGGAAGCGAAGCCGTAGAAAGTAAACATAATTTAGGATTACTTCAAAACCGATCCTCTGCTTATCGTAGAACAATGCCAAAACTGACGGGCGGCTTTCACTTAGTCCTTTCGTTGCAAGAGGCGTTTATTTAGCTAAAAACAACCAATTTATCAGCAAAATTAAAATTCTAGTATCACTGAAAATTGCTGTGGATTAAAACAAGGATTGGATTCCAACGTCTAAAGCTATCTGACCGCTGACGTGGATCAACGGAATATTGCAATCTTTTCCAGCACAATACAGGTGGGTATATTTTCGCTCATGCTATGCCTACATGTAGTTTTAAATGTCTCCTTCAGCGGCGCAGAGTTACTGTCTCTATCGTAGTGTACCTGCGGATTGTAAATTGCTTGTTTATACCCATTCTGATTTTGAATCCTCGCTGATGCTCTTTTGCGATGGTCACTGTCCTTTAACGGGGTAAACTTACGTTTTAAAATCGCTTAATTTTTTATCTTTCTCTAGAGTCGACCATGTAGTCGATAGTTTTCCAATTCGTAATCTCTATCGTTAAAGATCCGTCAGTCGATTGCCTACGCTGTAAATATCATATAGAATAAACAGGATTTTCAGCAAATATCCGCAATCTAATCCATGACCAACATTCCCAAACGGCTGCTATGCCACACAGTTGCTGCACATGATTGATATGGAGATTCATGACAAGAACATTTTGTCATGAAACTCGACGATTGAAGGATTAATGAAAGTTTCGTAACTTCCTAACTCAAGTGATTCTTGAAGGAGAAAGGATGTAGAGACAAGTTTAGTCCAATAAAAGGTTTCAAGATCCTCATCATAACTCCTGTTCCTCATATCAGTGAATGTCAATGCTTCATGTTGATCTGTGAAACGTTTATTAAAAAACGCTGTTCAATTGTACTACTCTAATATGTTTGCTACGCCGTAGTTAATACATGTTGTACTGCTTTCTTATTTTGATTTTTGCTTAGTTTTTTTATTATCCATCGATTATCTTGAGTCCAATGGTTCTTTCTGATAATGCGAGAGTGGATTCTAGGAAATTACTAATGTCCTGGAACTTCGCTCAGCAAGACATGCTCAGTGGACTGAAATACTGGATTTCAAGGAGCGTAATTCGTGCATTTAATTGTTTACACAATTGCACATTTTCTCTATCAGGTCGGTCAAGCCGAACTGCGTCACAGAATTCAGTTGTTCGGTTGATTTCTTAACGAGCAGCGGTGAACTCTTGTGGAAATGAGTTGCGTAGCGAGCACTTCCCGTTCACAACCAATCAGTCAACTAGGAATTATGAATCCATGAATACAGCTATCAGCATTACAAGAGTTTAACTCCGTATTGCAACGCTCGTTGCTGGTCTGGCGAAGGGAAGTTAAATGGCGTCTGCTCCACTGACATTCCTTGCAGAGTTGACATATTGCCGGTTGGTATGGATATCCTTTTATCCCGCGGAGCAACCCGGATGGTCATTTTTGTGGAACTGCTGTCTGGGAAAAACCAGATCTGTAGCATGCAGCAACGTTGGCTTTGACGCATTCTGCAGGTTAAATGACCAGATAATATAACAAAAGGACTTTGTTCCGCTCTTTGTACAGGTTACCTAGGTAAATGTAAAGACTAAGGACAGAAAGGTTGACCCTGTTGAACAAATTGGTGCAACATACACAATTTACTCTGGAACGTGAGCTTCACGTGGGATCCGAAACAGAGTAGGTGTCGACAAAGAGGAGGCCAGAATACAATATGGAGGAACAAGGTGGTAATAAATCTGCTTCTGGAGAGGAATGTTTTCTCATGCGATGCAGCAGCCGGTGTCTTATAGCAAAAATGACATTTTACTTATGCAAACATACAAAAACACACGTATGTGTGTCGCATGGAGCTCGCGTCTGATAGCTTGAACGGCTTGATCGTCTTTCGCACTTTCTCACATTATCACACCAGACTATAATGTCAATCAGTCAATCACTTTTCAGGATTGCTCATCATTCGCAGAAGCAGCGTAGATTTTTCTCCAACGTTCCTAATCTGACGTCTGAGCTTCGGCAGAGTTAACCCCAGCAGATGGTAAAAGTCTTCAAAACAATTGCCTCAGGTTATTCTTAGCCGTCCCAGAGGTCCTCAGCGGGGTTGAGCGAGCAAGAGCTGTCTCGATTTTCTATCTCGCAGTCTTTGCAAAACGTTTAAAAACTTTTGTAGATGTGACTTCTCAATCTGGAGAAACAGCGGCTGTAAACCAAGGCACCTTCGAATATCCTCACTTTGGCACTGTTGTGATGCATGAGCCAAGACACTCACCTTTCGAAAGCCTACTTCAGCTGGTTGTATCCACGATCGAAGCTTTTAAGCAATGATCCACGACTCATGATGACCATTTATTGGCATGAGGATGAAAATCGAGTTGATCACAGGCAGCTTCCTCTTCAGACTCAGCTCTGATCATATGCCCAGCCATGATGATGCTCTGGTCTGT